AATTATTCAGATGGGTCTTAAATGTAATCACAACTATATTTACGAGGGAGGCAGAAGGAGACTTTACTACAGACAGAAAAGAAGAAGACCATGTCATGGAAACAGAGAGAAGATAGAGGAAAGGTCATGAGTGAAAGATTTTAAGGAATGCAGCTCTATGCTCTAGAAAGTAAAGGGATTCTCCACAGGACCTTTGAAGTAAGTATGGGCCTGCTAAAACCTTGATTTTAGCCCCATAAGATTTATGTTAGGCTTCTGGCCTCTAGAAGTATAAGAGAATAAGTACGCCAGGTCTGCCAGAAAAAGTCCAGCCATTGTTAGTATAACAAGAATGATTTACGAGTCATTGATGTAACTTGGCAGCTGAGGAGAATGGACTGTAATGCACATGCGTGAATGATGATGACCTCACTGTACTAAGTGGGTTCAGTAGACACCGTTGAGTGAGCATGTGTACTGTGTGGCTGTGGCATTCAAAATGACTGAGTGAGCCCCAGCTGGTGTGGCTCAGTGGATTGAGTGCAGCCTGTGAACCAAAGAGTCCAAAGCTGGTTCAATTCCCAGTGTAGGGCACAGGCCTGGGTTGCAGGCCAGGTCCCCAACGGGGAGTGCACGGAATGTAACCACACATTGATATTTCTCTCCCCCTCTTACCCTCTCTAAAAATAAATAAAATCTTAACAAAAAATGACCAAATGGGTAGAGCATTGAATCTGCATCAAATTTTGCATTAAGCTTGGACATTCCTCCATGAAAATGATTTGGATGATTCAAGGAAGCATTCAAGGACGAAGCAATGAGAGCAGCACAGATAAAAATGTGGCACAAACACTTCAAAGATAGTCCAGAATCTGTTAAAAGTGTTCTATGTTCTGAAAGGTCTGAAACAAGCAGAACACCGGAGAATGTTGAATGTGTATGGGCTACAATCAACAAAGATTGGCAACTGACAGTGTGAAAACTAGAAGCTGATCTCTGGATTCCAAAAACTACTGTGTCCCAGATTTTGATGCAGGATCTTGTCATGGAATGTGTTATGGCAAAATTCACTCTCAGAGCAGAAGGAACATCATGCAGTAGTTGGGAGAACTGTGTGAGGTCCCAAGGTGCCTATTTTGAAGGGGACTGAGGAGTCAGTGTCCTATGTACAATGGTTCTTGTATCTTTTTCAGTAAATGTCTCCATTTTTCACAGTACATGGCTGGATATTTTCTGGAAAGAACTCATGTTGTTTTAAGATACCAAGTTTGTGGTAATTTGTTATAGAGGTCATAGAAAACTAATATCATAAATCATTGTATTATAAATAAAAGCAAAAAAGCAAGCATTCATTTCACCTTTCCTAAATGCACCATACCAATTAGTAAATATTAAATTATGGAGTATCTTCTTAAAAACTTGTTCCACTTAATACATAACATTAAGATATCACTCTTTTGCAAACACCGATGAATTAATTAATGTAGGCATTAAGCACAAATGGCTACTAATATCAAAATCAAGTGAAAACAAGTTATATCTGCCTTCAGATAAAAGATTATAATCTTAACAAAAGGATAAAAATGTAGTTTTATCAAGCTTCTGAGTCCTGAAGAAAGTCTGCAGGACAAAAAAGAAAAAAGAACATGTTGAATTATACCATGAGTATGTGATCAGCAAAATCCAAACTCGGAAAAACCAGAGAGGGAAAAATCTTAGTTCTTCAACAAATAAACAGTAAAGAAGAGAAAGGAATGGAGGGAACACTTGTATATAGTAAGAGACTTAAAAGACAATTCAAGTTAAAAAAAGTGGGTAAGACTATACTGTAGTGTCTAGGGATGCCTATGTGGGTGATTAAAAAACTCCAAGGAAGTGAGTATTATAAAAGTTGAATATGAGCGGGAGGGGTCTGTATGTAGGAAAATGCACACAGAGAGGCTTCTAGGATGGCTAACCAATTTCAATTTCTTGGCCAGGTTGGTGGTTATAAGGTTATCATCTTAGACCATTTGAACTGCTATAACAAAATACTAAACTTGGGCAGGATATAGGAAAAGTTATTTCTCACATCTCCGGAGCATGGAAGTCCAAGATCACAGCACTGTTACGGTGGCAAGAGGGCCTCTTTCAGGGTTAAGTCACAGACCTTTGTATCCTCAGTAGGCAGAGGGGACGAGGGGGCTCTCTGGAGTCTCTTTTATAAGGTACTAGTCCCATTCATGAGGGCTACATCCTCATTACTTGAGCACCTCCCAAAGTCCCCACTTACCAGTACCATCACCTTTTGGGGGTTAGGATTTTAACATAAGTTTTGGTGGGACACAAACATTCAGACCATAGCAGCTATTTATCCTTATAGTAATTAACTAAGCTTCAGTTTCTTTCACATGTTTTTAATTTTATTTTCCAATAAAATACAAAAAAGAAATAAAGTGACAAGTACAGGACTAGTGCTCCCACCATGAGAAATTTAGGAAAGTGGACATATTACAGGAAACAACTGTTTTCCCACTGTGGAAAATTTTTAAATGAGCCAAAGACAAAAACAGTATTTTACATGCAGCAGAATTATTAATAGGATAAGAATTAATATTGACTTCTGCCCTGGCTGGTGTGGTTCAGTGGATTGAGTACTGGCCTGCAAACCAAAGGGTCACTAGTACGATTCAGTTAGGGTACATGCCTGGGTTGCAGGCCAGGCCCCCCAGTAGGGGGCATGCGAGAGGCAACTACACATTGATGCTTCTCTCCCTCTCTTTCTCCCTCCTTTCCTCTCTGTCTAAAAATAAATAAAATATTTTTTAAAAAAGAATTAATATTGACTTCTTATTAGAAACAATATAAGCTAGAAGGCAATGGAAAAACATCAAAAGTACTGAAAAAAAACATAATAAAATTCTATATGTAGTTAAAATAGCCTTCAAAATGAAGGCAAAATAAAGACATTTTTAGACAAAGCTAAGAAAATACAGCAATAATAGTTCAGTACTACAAGAAATGATGAAATTATTTTAGGCTGAATAAAAATAATATGAGATGAAAATTTAGATCTACACAAATGTTCTAACAATCCAATTAGAAGGCCAGATTTTCAGACTGGATAAAAAAAGCAAGGGTAAACTTTATGGTGTCCATGATAATCACTTAAAGTATAAAGAAAACGATAGGTCTTTAAACCTATCGGGTTTTTTTAGTCATAAAAAAAGCTTAAGTGGCTATAATTAGACAAAATAAACTTCAGGTCAAACAATATTACCAAAGTTAAGAATGTCATCTTAAAGTAATTAAAAGATCAATTTCTCAATAATCCTAAATGGGTATGCACCTAATAAGAGAGCTTCAAAGTGCATGAAGTAAAAACTAAGAGAACTGAAAGAAAAAATGAATTCATATTTATATTTCAAGATTTCTACTCAATTCAGTAATTGATAAAATAAATTGACAGAAGAATCACTGTTTATAGAAGACATGAACATCACCCTGCCTAACTTCAATATAGAAAAAACAACACCCCAAAAAGAATACATGTTCTTTTTCAGTGAACAAGAAATATTCATAAAAATAGATGATATATTAAGCCATAAATTAAGTTCTAATAAGTGTAATCAAAATCATATATCATTTTCTGAACACACAAATTAAAATTTTAAAACAATATCAAAATTTATCTGAAAATAAATAGCTAAATATTTAAGAATTATACAACACAGTTCTAAATAACCTATGGTTCAATGAATAAATAACATGTTAAATTAGAAAAAATGTTGAACTGAATGAAGTGAAGTTATTTTGGAATTACAATGAAAGTAACAAAATTTATAGGGTGCAGCTAAAGTGATTCTTAGAGGGAAATTTATAGCTTTAACTGCTAATATTAGAAAAGAGGAAACATTTAAAAATTATCTAAGTTTGTATTTTAAATAGCAAAAAAAAAAAAAAGTTAAACCCAAAATAAGTAAAGGGGATAAGATAAGGAGCAGATTAATTAAAAATAATAAATAGAGAAAAATCAATTGAACAAAGAGGTAGTTCTCTGAAAAGATTAATAAAATTTGTGAACCTCTTGATAGACTGATCAGAAAAAAATGAAAGCAGACAAAAATTACAAAAGACAGGAATTGAAAGAGGAAAAAACTCTATGAAGACTATATACATTAAGAGAATAATAAGGACATATTTTGCCCACCAAAATGACAATTTAGATAAAATTGAAAGTTTCTGAAAGGCCAAATTAACAAAACTGGCAGAGACTGGAAAATAAGCATATGAATAACTCTCCTACGTTAAAAAATGAAATTCATTACTTAAAAATTCTCCCCAAATACCAGTCCCACATAGTTGGACTGATAAATCCAAGTAAATATTAAAAGAAGAGCAACACGAATCTTACACATACTCCTTCAGAAAACAGTAGTAATGAAAATTTTCAACTGATTTTATAAGGCTAACATTATCCTAATATCCTAAAACCAGAGAGACATTACCAGTAGACAAAACTCCAGATGAATGGCCCTCATGAACATAGATGCAAACATTCTTACCAAAGTAATGTAAATCAAATCCAGTAATACCTAAAAATAATACATTACCAACTTATTCAAGAAATTCAAGGTTGATTTAACTTTTTAAAAATACTTATATTTAACGTGAAATGAATTATAACTCTAAACATAAAAGCTAAAACATTATACAACTTTTAGAAGAAAACCTAAGAGAAAATCTTCACGTAACTGGGGTAGACAAAGATTTCTGAGATAAAACACCAAACGCTCCTATCATAAAAAAGACTTTTCAAAATTAAAAACTTCTGCCCTTCATTTCTAAGGATTTGTTATAAATGTTATAGCTTAATAAATTTTTTAATAAGATGTAAAGTGTATTTTACAAAGAAATGAAAGCGGCTGGAGAACTGTTGCAAGGAACTAGCGACTTGACTACGTGAACAGGAATTGCAGGCGCCGTTGTTGAGAGGAAATTGCTGCGACGTCCAAAATTCCATGCGCAGAAGCAGATCCAAGATGGCGGCCAGCAGGAGGCTGATGAAGGAGCTTGAAGAAATCCGTAGATGTGGAATTAAAAACTTCCGAAACATCCAGGTTGATGACGCTAATTTATTGACTTGGCATGGGCTTATTGTCCCTGACAATCCTCCGTATGACAAGGGAGCCTTCAGAATCGAAATCAACTTTCCAGCCGAGTACCCATTCAAACCGCCGAAGATCATATTTAAAACTAAGATTTATCATCCCAACATTGACGAAAAGGGGCAGGTCTGTCTGCCAGTAATTAGTGCTGAAAACTGGAAGCCAGCAACCAAAACCGACCAAGTGATCCAGGCCCTCATAGCACTGGTGAACGACCCTCAGCCTGAGCACCCACTTCGAGCAGACCTAGCTGAAGAATACTCTAAAGATCATAAGAAATTCTGTAAGAACGCTAAAGCATTTACAAAGAAGTATGGGGAAAAGCGGCCTGTGGACTAAAATCTGCCGCGACGGATTCCAGCGAGTGGAAGCAGAAACCCCAGCAACGCATTGTCACCTGCAAAGCAGGACTCTGGAAAACTGACACGTGCCACCGTTAGTGGCAGTTACTAACTTTCTACAGTTTTCTTAATTAAAACTGGTCTATGTAACCTGTAAAGAAAGGATTAGAAATTTAAGATGTCTAAACGACAAACGAAAAAACACCTCTATTTGGCAGGGTAGTACCACACTTCATCCCAAAATAGAATGTAAAATTAGCTATATGTTTTAAAACTAATTTGCAATCTACAAATTTTCTTTGGTAAATATTTATTTTATGATTCTGACTTTCCTATTCATTCCTTTCCAGTTTCTTCTTAAATATCAGCTCTTGGTTTACAGTGCTCACTCACTTATCCTTATTTGTTTTTCCTTGCTTGAAACTATAGAGGTGCAGAAAGATTCCATGATAATAACTGCCTTTCTTCTTTTCCTCTCTGCTTCCCTACTCAGAATTGATTTGTTATCCATTTTACCTGTATTAAAATGTGTTTTGTTATAACAACAGTCACAGTCTTGGTTCCTTTTGGAGTGGTTTCAATAAATGAGATTATTATTATTATTTAGGTTTTACAATAGTATCTTCATTTTTAATTTAAGTTTATAAATTTAATGTTTACAGCACAATTTGACTTACATATTTGTGAAATGACCACAATTGACTTAGTTAACAACCAATATCTCATATATGTACAAAAACAAAAACAAAAAATCCTTTTTTCCCTTGTGATGAGAACTCAGGATTTATTCCTGTCAACCATATAACAATGTGTTAACTATAGTCACCATGTTCTATATAACGTCCCTTGTACTTATTTATCTTATAACTGGAAGTTTGTACCTTTTGATCACCTTCATTCAATTTCCCCTTCACCACAACCACCCCAGATAATCACAATTTTTATATCTTTTTCTACAAGTTTTTTTTTAAGATTCTCTATATAAATAATATCATACAGTATTTGTCTTTATCTGCCTGACTTATTTCATTTAGCAAAATAATTAATGCCCTCAAGTTGTATCCATGTTGCTGCAAATAACAGGATTTTCTTTTTATGGCTAAGTAATAGTCCATTCGTTACTCATTCGTTGTTGGACACTTAGGTTGTTTCCATAGCCTGACTTGTAAATAATGTTGCTATGAACATGAAGGTGCATCTATCTCTTTGACAGTGTTTTCCGATATACTCAGAAGTACAATTGCTAGGTCATATGGTAGTTATATTTTTAATTTTTTGAGGAATCTCCATACTGTTTTACATAGCAGCTGTACTGATTTACAATCTCACCAATAGTGCACAAAAGTTCCCTTTTCTCCACATCTTCGCCAGCATTTGTTATCTCTTCTCTTTAATAATAGCCATTCCAGCAGGCATAAGGTGATATGTCCTTGTGGTTTTGATTTGCATTTCCCCGATGATTAGTAATGTTGAGCACCTTTAATGTACTGTTCGTCACTTATATGTCTTCTTTGGGAAAATGTCTATTTGCTTCTTTGCCTATTTTTTAATTGAATTATTTCTTTTGTGCTATTGAGTTTTATGAGTTCCTTATGTATTTTGGATATTAACCCTTTATCAAATACATGGTTTGAAAATATTTTTCTCTTTCATTCCATATGTTGTTTTGTCACTCTGTTGATGGTTTCTTTTGCTGTGCTGAAGCTTTTTAGTTAGAGGGAGCCCCCTTGTTTATTTTTTATTTTGTTGCTTGCACTTTAGAAGTCTTTAATGCATTTCAATTTAATTTTTGTTAGATGTATAAGGTAAGGGTCTTGTTTCATTTTCTTACATATGAATATCCAGTTTCCCCATAACCACTTACTAAAAAGACAATCTTTTCTCCATTAAGTATTTTTGGCTCCCTTGTCAACCATTTGTTGACTATATGTAAATAGGTTTATTTCTAGGCTCTTAGTTCTTTTCCATTGGGCAATATATCTGTTTTTATGCCAGTGTCACATTGTTTTAATTACCATAGCTTTATAATATAGCTGGAAATCAGGACGTGTGATGCCTCTCACTTTGTTCTTTCATAGGGTAACTTATGCTTTTAAAACTTACCATTAAGAAAATTAAAAGACAAGCTGTAGATTAGGAGAAAACATTTTATCTATCAAATTATATAAATAAATACATAAGTATATTCATACACTTAATATACAGAATATATACTTTATTATGACCATAGTTATAACCATATTTTATTGTTATATAAAATTATATGTATATAATACTATATAAATATATAAGTGGTAAATAAATACATGAAAAATGCTCACCATTAACAGCCATCAGAAAAATGCACACTGAAATTCAAATGAGTTACTACTACACACCTTTTCCTATGGATAAGATTAAAGTAACTAGAAATGCCAAGTTTTGGAAAGGATATAAAGCAACAGAAACTCACAAATTGCTGGTGAAATTGTAAAATAGTATAAAACTTTGGAAAACTATTCAGTAGTTTCATAACGTCTTGTTTTAAAACACATTTACACGAGTAAGTTGATGTCAAGAAATAGCCTAAAAATTTACCTTATTCCAAAAATAAAGAGGTTATACAGAAATTCCTCTTAGTTATAGTAAGTGCTAGAAGACAATGAAACATTATTTACAGTTCCAAAGGAAAAGAGAAAACCTCCGAGGAATTTGATCCAAGACCAAATTATTCCACAGGTTTAAAGCCAACAGATTTCAAACCTACAAAAATCAGAAAATTAAAATATATTAGTATTAAAAAACATTGAAAGGATTAGAAAGAAAACTAAACCAAAGTAAAACAAAACCTTATGGCAAACATTAAAAAATTAAAAGAAAAAAATAGTTTGAAAGAACTAAGACTAAACATATCAGATTAATAAACAAGTGAATAAACTCATCTAGTATAAGAGAAAACTCTTAGATTGACTCACAAAGCCAAACCCAGTATAAGCTGTATATTGAACAGATTTATCTACAACCAATTTAATCCAGAAAGACTGAAAATTAATAGTTGGGTTCAGACTTTTCTGTGAATACCAACAAAATGAAAATAGGGAATTTTTGTGCATGTTTGTATACATCAATTTCTTTGCAGAAATTGCTAGATGCTTTTTAATCTAATAGCCTATTCCACATGGGGAGGCCACCTTTCCCAGCCCAAAGTTCAATATAAATATGGCCTTATTTTTGGATTTTGGCCGCAGTAAAGTGGTAGACAGGATGCACCTACTTCTAGGCCTGACAACAAATGTTTTGTGCAATTATCTCACTTTTTCTCTTAGCCAGCTAAAAGCAAAAGATCCCACATAAAATTCTAAGGGGATCATAGGAGATGGCTTGCACTAATTTGTTCTTTTCTAAATATAAATATAATGTAATTGATAATTTACACTTATTCCTCTAGAGAGTATGGTCCTCCACACCAGAAGCAAGTATCTCAGGGGTGATTGCCTCATTCTGTGGCCTCGATCTCAAATCCCAGCTATCAGATATCCTTAAACTTCAGGGGAAAGGTAATGTTGAAACATTGTGGGGTAGTGCAATATAAAACCATTTCTTTCATCTACTTTTCATCATGCAAAAGTTCTGAGTCATCAAAGCTTTATCCAACTATTAATATTTTCAGGTCAGCTTAACCATTTGATGAGAATGACCTCATTCCCATTATGTTTCTTTGTTGTGTCCTGACTTCACATAGGGTTATGGTTTTTGGTTCTTCTGGCAGCTAATCTCTGCATCTTCATGATCTTTTAACTGTAAACTAGTTGCTAACTACTGGTTACCAGTTTTGTTACTAAATATATCTTTCTTGTTACTATCTCCTGGTACCACTTTCTAAATGTCTCCTTTAAACCAGGTGACATCCCATGATTTGCTTTCTCACAAAGTGGAATTTTCTGGTTTTCTTTTTAAAGATCTAAAGAATTTCTGGCTAGGACATTTATAGATTTTTGTTGGTTTGTTTGTTTTTCGCAGATTATCTGGTCATTGTAGCTAGTGATAAAGGTCTAAATTATGTCAATGTATTAAAATGTGTTTTTAACAATAAAAAACCGAAACATTACATTTAGATTTCAAAGTCCTGTTGAACTGCTCTAAAAATCTTAGCCTTAACTAAATCACTGTTGACAAAATGATGGATGTTACACTCCTTTAAAAGTTTCCTTATGGGATTGTTTAAAACCCCCTTTTCTCCTCCCTATTTCTTTGGACTGTCTGTACTTCCTTGGCCCAAATTAAATATTGCTTTGGGAGTATGGGCAACATAATGACCTCCCTGGTCTTTTTAGACCCTCGGCTTGGGTAAAGTTTAAAAGAACATCATTGGATGCTAAATCATTTTCTATTACACTTATAAAACTGGCACATATTCCCCAAGTCTACTGCCAATGTTATTCCACATATAAAATTAACATATTATTTTCTTAAAGTGAAAAATAAAAGGTGGTTCATTGTAGAGAATGTAAACATGTGTTTTATTTCAAGACTGCACTACCTGATTCAATTTACCTTCTTATGCCTTCTTACCTTTTCCTGAAAAATGAGACAGTCCATAACCAATAGTTGCCAGATAATAGTATATCATACATCTTCCTAACCAAGTTCTGTGCCTTGCTAAATCTAGAGGATTAAAATATTCATTGCATTACTTTTCTAAGACATTCATAATAAAGTACCATACACTAGTTTATAAAATATAACCCCAAAATCGATTGTCTCATGGTTCTGAAGGCTACAAGTTCAAATCAAGGTGCTTTCTGGGCTGTGCTCCCTCTGAAACCTGTAGGGGAATCATCCCGTGACTGTTCCTCGCTTTTGGTATATTGTCATGCCAGCAACTTCTGGCTTTTTTTCCTCTCTTTGGTTTGTAGTTACAGCTCTCCTATCCTCTATCTTCATATAGAGTTCTTCTTGTGTCTCCTGCTGGAAGCATTACTCCCTTTGGAACTCTGACCTCTATACCAGTTGTAGTTA